GGAAACAAGCAGTTCTTCTCTGCATAACAGCGAAAGCAGCGAGGTAAAGTGTGCTGAAACTGATCTGATAGGACGGAACCTTGCTCTTAACCTCCTCCTCCTTCGCCTCCTCCTCCTCCTTCCCATGATCTTCCAGGTGCTCCTTGATCGTTTTCGTACCCTCCTCTTCCTCCTCTTCCTCCCCTTCCTCCTCCTCCCTTTCTTCCTCTTCGGCGATGATTGCTGCTCCCTTCCCCTGCGCTCCACTTTCCTCCGTTTCCTCTCCTCCTCGCTCCCTCGCTCCCTCCGTCTCCTCCGGCTCCTCCTCCTTAACAGCTCAACCCGAACATCGGAGATTCCGTCCTGCTCTGAGGTTAAACGATGGCAGGAGGAGACGAGGAGGAAGAGCAAAAGGAAGAGGAGGAGGAGGAGGAGGAGGAGGAGGAGGAGGAGGAGGAGGAGGCAAACACCTGCGTCCACCTGCCCTTGTTTGGGTCCCAGCGGGACATATAGAGGCTCTGAGGATCGACGACGATGGAGGAGGGAGGGAGAAGGAAGGACATGCTGATAGCAGGAAGCCTCTCGACTGAACGAAATCGCTGAGAAGAGAAACTGAAAACCACTCTCTCCCTCCTCCCGCTCCCTAAACCCGCTCCCGCTCCCTCTCCCTCTCCCTCTCCTTCCCTCCTCCCCCTCCTCCTCCCTCTCCCTCTCCCTCTCCCTCTCCCTCTCCCTTCCTCTCCTCCTCCAACGCTCCTTATCCCCCATCCTCCCCTTCCACCCTTCCTCACCTTGTCCAGTGTACGCGTCGATGGAAGGGTACGGCATCTCTTCGACCTGGCCGCTTCCTCCCTCCACCTCCTCCCTCATCGACCATGCTCCAACCTTCTTGGGCTCCCGCGGCAAGTTAAGGCACTGCACTAACAGCACGCCTCCCACCGCTACATCCTCCTCCTCCTTTCCGTCTTCCTCCCACCTCTGCCTGCTGTCATTCACCTGAGCGTGCGGGGGATCTGACATGCTGTCCACATGGGGGTGGGAGACGTGCTGGGACTCAGCTGGGAGAGAGCTCTTGGAGGTCGAGGGCAGCTGGACAAGCTCAAAGTTGTCGATGAGGATAGCGCGGAGGGCGATGGACTTCATGATGAGATTCTGCGGGATGCTCATCCTGCCAGAGAGGAGTCAGAGGAGGGGAGCAGCGAATAGGAAGCAGAGCAGAGCAGTGCAGATGGGCAGGCACAAACGAGGAAGGGAGAGAGGGGGAGAGGGAGGGAGAGCGTGTGTGTGGAGAGAGGCAGGCAGGGAGGCAGGCAGGGAGCGAGCGAGCGAGAAGGCGAGAAGGCAGGCAGGACTGTTTCACCTCAAGTTCCTCACAGGAAATTCGATCTCCTTCAATCTCAAGTTCTTGGTCAGGTTGACCCACATGCATACAGTCAGGTGCTTCCTCTGCTGCCAGAAGCGACTGTCCTCAGTCGTCATGTAACTGTGAGGATGGAGTAGAACGTCCATGGTCATGGTGTCTAACTTCCGCGCCCCGATCTCTTTGGTCCTCGCAACGATGTGATTCAAAGTCTTGATCCTCTCGCTCTCGGACGCTCTGATGTCGCAATTCGTCCTCATCCTCGTCCTCTCCTCTCCACCCTCCTCATGAGCATGCAACGAGAGTTTCTCGGCTTGCCTGTAGTACTCCAACAACACCTTCTTGTGCGTTCGCAGGTCGTTCGTGCGGGTCCAGCTCCCGTCATCGTCTTCCCGCGTCACGCGGAGCATGTGCTTGCAGTGTAACAACTCTTTCAGCATGCTCTTCATCCGATCCTCCTGCACAACCAACATCTTCTCCCGTGACACTTGACAAACTTGCAACTTCTCCGTGGCGACTAGCTGCAAGCACTGCTGGATCACTTCGAAGGACGAGTCGATCTCCTCTGCTAGCACCGCAAACTCGCTGGTTGCCTTGAAGAGCACAGGACAGCGTCAGCGTCACACGTCCTCCTGGAGATTTTTCCCTCACCTTGTCTTTCTCCCAGTCATTGATGAAGTCATTCAGCGCCACCTCGCTCCTCGGGTCGGGAAGATGATTGCAAGATACCCACAACTGCCAGTCGAGCTCTTCGTCGCGCTTCTTGTACTCTTCTTGCAACTTGTCCTTGATGCTCAACAGGACGCTCTTTACCATGGACCTCTCGTTGAGAATTTGCCCGACCTCCACACACGTCCACTCCTGTACAGCTTCCACCCTCCTCAACTTCTGCTCCTCTTCCACCGCCTGAGTGAAATCATGCTTGATAAGGTCGATAGATGATTGCAGAGGTTGTATCTTCTTCTTCTTCTCCTTGGCAGGCAACTTGATAGGGTTGTTGTTCAACAGCTCTTGTGCACTCTCCAAAATTGTTAGAGAATCCTGCATCAGCAGCAGATTCCTTTCCGACTTTGATATGTCTATGTTTGCATTTGCCTTGTTGATCATCTTCTCAACACGATCCAACAGCAGCTGAAGCTCTTCGGCCTTCTTCTTCGAGTTGTTCTTCCCGTCTGCGGGTTTTGGCGGCATCTTCTTGACTGGGATCAGGGGTGAGCAGCAACTTACAGGTTCAAGGGCACTGCGGTATCCCAATCGTCATCAGCTGTCACCCTGTCAAGAATGTCATCAAGGGATCCGGGGCTCACAACCATAGCGCTAGAACCTATCCTCCTAACATTCGGTTGTTTCTTCCCTGTTGCTTCTCATCGCTCTCTATCGCTCTTTGGCAAACTTCATCATGACTCACGGAGTCCAATGCTGCATTCATGTAGTCCTGCAAGTCCCCTCACCCAGCAGGCAGCGGCTTGAAGTCTCCCCCGCTCCCTCCCTCCTACCGTACGGTGAGTTTCCCGTCCACCATGATTTATTGACAACCGAAATGACTCGAGCCTTGACAAGTCACTGGAGAAGCTGATTTTTAACTTAACTTTGAGTAAAGGAGAAGCCGGGCCGCGTATACCGCCCGGGTCCGGAGCGCCGCTGGGCCGGCGGCCGCGCGGCGCGGCTGCGGCCGCGCCGTGACTGAACTTCCAGGGCCCGGGCGCTGAGTTCAATGACTTCCAAGTTTCACCCGCCCGGTTCGAAGATCCGATATCCGGGACCCGCTGCCCCGGGGGCCGTGACTGCGGTCCGGTTTTTGACTGTGGGAAGGGGCCCGGGGTGAATCTGAGGGCCCGGGCCGGCCCACGGTGCCGCCCGGCCGACTCAGGCCGTCTCAGTTCATAATAAATGTTTCGAATCATCCCCCTCATATCCCTTCCCCCTTTTTCCGTTGCTACCCAGTCCACCCACCCCCTCTGATAGACTTTCCAATAGCATGATTCTAGGGTAGGGGTAGGTTGAGAGGTATAGCAGGGACCCGTCAAATCTCACTAGTGTAGTATTTGCTGAAAGTGGAGGAATGTAGGGGTCCTATGAGGTAGGAGAGTGGGTGGGGTCCTATTGGAATGGGGTCCATTGGTGATGTTGTACTCTGTGAAGTATGGTAGGGTGGGGTAGCTCAGAGTAAGGGGTGGGTCATCATATTCGGATAGCTCGGCGGGGGTGGGGTGGGGCCGGGTGATATCGTTGGTCAAGAGCAAAAAGAATCCAGGAGTTTACTCAAAATCCAGGGGTATGTGAGGACGAAAGGAGGGGTACTGAGAGCAGGTACAAACGCTACAGGGGGTGATGGCAAGGTAAAACAGGAGTGTAAAAGGGGGTAGGGTACGTGATAAAGGGGTGGTAAGTGTGTAGAAGGTGTATGATATCGGTCGAGGGGTGGGTGGAATGAGACTGAGCGATGAGCTCGATGAGTTGGGCGAAAATATATGGGAGGGGAGGGAAGGAGGGGAAGGGGGGGAGGAAAGATGTAGACAGGAGAGAGGAGGGAGAGAGAGGAGAGAGGGGGGGAGGAGATGGTGGATAGAGCGAATGGGGATGATAAAGTGGAGAGAGGGGAAGAAGGATTGCAGGTGGGGAGTTTTCAGTAATCCTTCAGGTGGGGAGCAGAAGGGAAGTTGTGGCCTGTACTGTAGAGATGGTAAGAGCACGGATGGTGAGGGAAGACATTTTTGATGATTTGAGGTATCACATGGTGTAGGAGATGATCTTATATGCTCGTAGTGATCAACAAAAGTGCTCGTGTGGTTGTTGAAAGGAGGACTCATTTTCAGCTGCAGTTTTCTCGTGAATCGAGTGGATCTGACGGCATTGTTGTGCAGCGATGGTCATTGTCAAGGAGGTGTTGTCGACTGCAATCAAAAACGGATGATTCTTGTCAGACTCGTTGAAAGTACGTGTATAGCTTGTTTAGTAGAAGACCGATGGAGCTAGACCCCTGGTTGTCCTGGGCTGAATTCGATGACTTCAGCGACGGTGGTGGCAAAGTTCAAGAAATCAAGAAAGTGAAGAGAGAAGAGGAGGAGAAGGAGTACACTGTAGATGAAGACCTTACGGAGATTGAACGCGCAATCTTGTTCATCAAGACAAGCGATCGCTGCAGATCCATTGTGCGGTGGAGATTTTGAAGAGGCAACTTGTCGAGGAGCAAGAGAATGCAGAGGCGCAACTTCTGCCTCTGGTGCTCACAATCACCTCTGACGCAACACAGAAATTCAAGGAGGAAGACATTGTTCATCAAACCCTGATCGCGAATGTTCTCAGTGAATCCCTGGAAGCTGGAGCCATCACCAGTGCGGCAGCGAGCAAGCATATCTTGCCCAAGTGCCTCAACTATGTCAACGCGCAGTCAAACGAAGTCAGAGATCCGTGGTTGAAGGTTCTGAACCTGCTCATCCCGCTGCTGCCCAAAGAAGAGATTGAATCTTCGGTTCTACCCTTGGCCTTGGCGCTCGGCGAAGTCTCCAAGACGGCAGAGCAGCGATTGCTCTGTGCAAAGATGGTCGGAATGCTGGTGAGTTATCTCCCTCCAGCTGTTGCCCTGCAGCCGCCCAAGGCCTCTCACAACAAGCTGGAGGACAATACCGTCTCTCTCTTCGACCGCGCGATCGCCCTATGTCAGGACACTGACCATCGAGTCCGCGCGTGCCTGGCGTTGCAGCTACCCTCCGTTGCCCAGATGCTGGTGAGGAGAATAGCAGCTGGGGAGGGCGCGACCCCGCATCAAGGCTCGAACGGGAAGCTCTTAGCGGCCACGATGGCTCAGATGAAAATCTCCTCTCCCTCGATTCCACAGGGGTTGATGGACAAGCTGAATCTTGTGAAGGAAGAGATCGAGGAGCTCTTGAGGGACGAGGAATCAGAAGTGAGGGAGCATGCGGTGGAGGGAGCGGCTGCCCTGCTGAAGGAACTCCCGAAAGCTGTCAAGCTTTCGCTTGCCATCTTCCTCACAAACGAGGTATTGAACTTTGACAGCAAGAGTATCTTCCATGCATTTCTTTCTCTTCTGCTTTGCATTTTGCCTCTTTCTTTCTCCTTCAACGGTTTCTCATCTTCACTGCCAATGTTTCCTATGTGAACATTCCTCTCTTCTTCCTTCTCTGCCTGTGCCCCTGCATTCTCTTATCGAATCACTCGATTCCTCCTCTGATCCATCACACAGGTTAAGAAATATTACAATTCTGATGCCCCTGACGTGGTATGGATAAGCAAAAGCATCGGACCACTCGTCCATGAGATGTGGAAGGACGTTGACTGTGAAGCTAGCGTTCTTCTGCTCAACTTCGTCCTCTCTCTGCCTCCTTCTGCCTCGTCTGAAGTCAGATCCAACCTAGCTTACAACCTCCCCGGCATCATTCTCACAATCTCAGATCTAGGGAAGCTGGAGACAGTCAAGAGTGCTCCAGAGAAGAGGATGATGCAGGACAAGATCGAGAAGATCCGCTGCATCCCCGAGATGCTGTGCAAGGACGAGGACAAGGAGGTGCTGTGCTTGCCAATCGCTGGGCTGCGTTTCCTTCTTAGTGATGAGGGGGCTGATGAAAGCAAGTTTGATGGGGAGGAGGGCGGGATGGGGCGGGGAAGATAGAGGTGGGGAGGAGATGGGCTGTTTCAGTTTCTGGCGGAGGAGATTGGATGTGAGGAAGGGGCTGATGTGTAGGAGCAGGTCAAGATTGCTCTCATTCGAGCTCTTCCCG